CATAGATTTGAGAAAAAGCCGGCCATTCCGACCGCTGAATTCAGAACTCATTAACCCACTTCAGGCGATCATCATTTTCAATGCGGCTTGGGCCATTATACGTGGAATGTCAAGCTCAACTTCTTTGAATTCCGTGAATCTCTCACACATTCCGCATCAAAAGATCGCCATATGAGTCCGCAGTTCTCTCGCTGATTTGGGTTTGTAAGGCATCAGACCAATGCAGAGTTTTCAAGCACAAAAGTCTGAATCGAGTACTCTTTGATGAAAAAAATACATCGAGTTCTTTCTCATGTGTGGTCAGTGTATACTCTTAGATCATCGGGACAATAATACAAAAGTTGTGCTTCAAAGCTAAACTGCGATCTTCTTTTGTTCCATTCTTTCAGTCCGGTTCTTCTTCATTTTTTGTGCCAGTTTCCCCGGATTCTTTATAACGAGATTTGAGAGACACCCGGGCGCCAATTCATGGACAAGATAGCCAGCTCACTCCGGGGCGCTGGTGATTTCTTCATCTCCTACCGGAGGCTTCAATCTTGGGCTATCATCCCACTCCAGTTACTCCAACTCCCTGGTCAGCTGAGTCGATTCTTTTACCGACTATTTAGTGGCTTACATACGCCTCGGCGACACAGTGAATTGAAAAATATGCATCTGGAAGTGCTCAGCTTGGGGACTATCTATCCACAGGCGCTTTTGGTATTTACCATGTGAGGTTTGTTCACAGTCCGCCAAGTCCATCTCATTGTTCTAACCAGCCCCCCCCCCCCCCCTTGCTCCTCTGTTGCAGCGGAATCACCTACAGCGTCATTGCACCTATGATCCTAGTGTTCGGAACAATCTATTTTGGAATGGCCTATCTGGTTTACAAATATAAGGTGCTAAATGGCAAGTCTCAATTCGCATCTGCTGAAATTTTTAACACCAGGAAATGCTTATTCACATGCATCTCACACCAGTTTACTACCGTGCGTTCGAAAGTCAAGGCCAAGCTTGGCCCATTGCTTGTAATCGGATTGGATGGGCTCTGATCATGTTGGTATTTGTTTCTGTTCACTTTTTTGTACCAGCGTACTATCATTTGCTTACCTTGCTGTTCGCCTGGGATAGTTTCCAAGTCTTCATGCTCGGTCTATTATCACTCCGACAAGTGTTCCTACTGTCAACCTTAGTGATTCCGTTGATTCTTTACACGATCCAGCAGCTCATCCGACTGGAATCGGTTTATGGTAGACATTCACAATTCACCAGTTTATCTCAACTTCGAGAAGCTCAGAGGAAGGAAGATGAAGATGACGGTCTCGGCGAAGAAGATCGAATCGAAAGTACCTTGAGGCCCTCTCCAAGTCATAGAACCAAGTTCTCGTCTGCAAGTCGACTACGCAAATCTTCTGTTACCCAGAGTCAGACGAATTTGAATGTCAAGCGTTACAATCACAAAGACGAAACATTATTTATCCCAGGAGAGGTCAGTCTTTTTACTCCAATCGCTTTTCTGGCTGTTGAGTATAGATACACTTGATAATCATTCACACTGATCACAAAAACGTGTCATTGCAGACTGAGTTTACAGACAACAGCGAGCCGCCGATGTCGACAGTATATTGGGGCATTCTAGATACGGGTACAAATCGCTATGCTCACCCAGCCAGTGAGAATTTGCTCTGACATTGTATGAAGTCGCATGAGCTGTTTTTGGTTGACAAGCATTGAATTCTTCTAGTCTCGGGACGAATGCCCCTGCCCCAATTACCGGTCATCCGTGGGCTCGCGTCAGACAAAGCCAACGATGCCCAGCCTGGTAAGAAGCGATTCGAGCTGCCGCAGTATCGGGTCCCAAGCGACGATCCCAAAAGATCATCCGGCCAGAGTTTGCGGACTCTAGGGAAGTTTAGCAGACGCCGTCAGGCGAGCGAGGATAGTGGAGAGAACGGTGGACTGTTGGATGCAACGCCGGAGGTCGGAGAGTCGGAAGAGGACGACCATGCTCAAGACGCTCAGACCAGTTCCAGTGCTGGTCAACAAAGCTGCTTCAAGGGCAAAAACCGTAAGCTATCATTATATCTCTACCTTGGAAGTAAAATCAAAATTCGGATCTGATCGATTGTTCCAATCGATTGATCATCAGGCAAATGAATCAACGCTCCCTCTCGTACGATCAACTCTAGGAACAAAATTTGAACACGTTTGCTCCGCTCTATCGCTCCTACAATATCCAACTCCCTTTTCTTTCTACTTATCAAGAAAAAAAAGAGGACAAATACACGCTTGGTAGTTGGGTTTCTATACATTTTATATACACACATGTATGTGAAAACTTTTATTTGTTTTTTTAGCTAGTTAGTTAGTTGCTTTTTAGGGGTTTTTTGCGCGCAGAACTATTGTTTTTCTCTTTCTTCTGCTGAGTTTTTGTTTATTTACTTATTTCTTTTTCTTACGCAAAGCGGTGTGTCAAAACATGTATTACTATCATAGAACAAGTTGTCTTATTATGTATTCTGATTTCATCCATTTTAGAAAGAACCAAAAAAGTAGGAATGTTGTATTTGAGTAATTTCCATCCATCATTCAATCATGCAGTGCCTTATATTTCTATTCAATTGTCTTAACATTTTCTCTTTGTTTCTCCTGTGGTTCATCATGCCCCCGGATTCAGTAGCAAGTAGGTTTAATTAAAGCTATGGAGATGGCTACTACCAGTCTAGTAGAGGTTCTTGCTAGCCACCACCTTTTTTTATCAACGCTGTCTAATCAGGAGCCTTATAATAGAATGTAGATTCACAAAAGCTGATATGTAGTCAATTCTAATTTCTATGTTGACCCACACCCCTTGATGCACAGCAAACTATGAGTTAATAACTTATATGACATGGGCGGAGCAAAAGGCTCTCTATCAACCCATGACCCATGGGCCAAGGGAACCCCCCCCCTTTTTTTTAGCCCACAAGAACACAGGTTTATATATGCAGGGTTATAGGGAGAAGGAAGGAAAAGAGTAAATCAACTGGGATGCATCAATCTAAGCTGGAGTAGGTAAGAGTTTCTAGTTCAACACTCTTGATTTTCCATTTTTTTTAAAAGGATTGGTCTGAGTTGCAGCATATTGAAGGGTTGTGGATTTGAGATCCTTTTTTTGCTGTCTGCCAACTTGGTGGATACATTTGGTCATGGGTTACAGGAAAGTATGGCTTAATACAGACATAGGGTACCACAGAGTTGACTGTACCCTATTGGAGATGGTGATTTGGGGCGGGTGGCTCCTAATTCATGATGGACTGTATGTAACCATCAGTGTTTTTTCAGGTGAGCAAAAAAATCCAACCACTCTCCTGCAAAGTTGCTGAAAAACTCATGATTTTCCATTTTTTGTTTACCTTGGATTCCAAATTAGAAGAACTCATTTTGAAATTCTCCTGAAAATTTGAACATGCTTTATGGAAACACTTGTTGATGATAAGATATGATCCACATATGCATATATTATTGCCTTTGGCCTGGTTCACCATTTTAGCATTAACCACCTTTTTTCTGAAAAGACTACTGCAACTGATACTGGTAGTAGGAAATATCATTTCTAAAGTTAGACTGGAATTTAAATTTTAATGTATTGTGAGTGCCCACTTAATTCACTTAATAGACAGGATTGCTATAGAGATAAGGCCCTAGATGTTGTTATTTCTGGATATAATCAACACCTGAGATCTCACAGATTGCCTGTCCAATGATAATTGGCTACTCAAAGATGCAAGTAACCTGTTTTTCCAGGTGCTCCAGCTGATAAACACTTGTTGATTACTGAGTATTGTGGCAACACAGGCTGACCCATTATTATGACACATTTTGACTCAGGACGGCCAGCTTGGCTAAAATTTCCATCATGACAGCTCACATCAACATTTCACCCTGTTGTTCTACATGCCTCTCAACCCCAAGGCCTCCATGCATCTTGGCAATGTTTTTGTAGCATCAGTCAACATTCCGAATGAAGCATCTTTCCAATGACACATATTCAGAGGCATGGTGACAATTTTGAATTGCATCACCAAGACTCAAGACTCCATTCACTCGCTTTGAGGGATTCTTGGGGCATTTATTAGGAATCACCACAGCAGAAAAAAGAACTTTTAATATTATTTTCCGAGGTTCCAAAGCCTTGTAAGGCCATCTGCAGCTGCTGTAATGAAACAATTTGTTTTTGGGTGACATTCTACCCAAGTCACGTGTTTCTGATGGGCTTCAAAGCTCATCCCTGCGTTTTTCTTTCCCTGGAGGCGAGCGCATTTCGAGGAGTACAATTTGTCAGAACTTTGGACCATTGACAAGATCTTACCGAGAGTCAAAGAAAGGGGATTGTACTGACACTCTCAAGGTCCCATGCCCATAGTAGCCCATCCTCATCTCCAGCAAGCACTTGAGCTTCATCATAGCTCATGCTTATGCGACTTCGATAATTTAAAGCCCGATGGCCGGTAAACTTTTGTAGCATTTCACCTCTTTCACGGTCCATGAGGCGGATCGTTGAATTTAGCGTAGAAACGGCCATCGTTTTGGAGTCCTTCAGCAAGTGAATCGATGTCACAGGGTCTTTATTCATCAAAATATATAGATATAAACTCAGCATTTGATAACCATTTTCTTCTTCGAGGAATAAGGGAAGGGGGAAAAGAAAGAGAATAACCTTCAAAATAATCTTCCATCATTTGCCCCATCCTGATATCGTATGAGCGAACATAGCCGTCCACCGAGCCAGTGATGAATTCGCTCCCGGATACGATGATCGAAGTGATGGAGTCCTTCGCATCTTGAAAAATTTGAATTGGATGGCGCTGTTGAGATTTGATGTCCCAAACTCGCACGGAAGCATCGAAACTTCCTATGAACTCGAGATCGAAAATCAGAGCCGATTGAAGAACGATTTTGCACATCAAAACAGAGTGCGACTCTGATGCTAACCACTGATGAGCAAGTTGCCGTCGAAATTGAAAGCACATGCATTGATCACACCAGTGTGACCACTAAAGCGTCTCAGGATGGCGCCGGTTGATACGTCCCAATAGAAGACCGAACGATCACCACCAACACTTCCAAGGAACGAATTATTTGGTGAGCTATCTACAAACAGAGAACCACCTTCAGTATCGCTTTGGGTCTAATGGCAATCTCGTGCCGAAGGAAGCCCTTTCTTTCTTGACTCACACTGCGATCCCTAATATCTCATACCCATGACCGCTGTAGTCTTTGATGAAATTTCCGGTCTTAGCATTCCAGAGTCGAATCGTTCGATCCTGCCCACCGGTTAGCACGTACTGGGCACCATGATTGAACGTTGCAACATGGACGATCCCTTTGTGCTCCAACTGACATTGCAAAGCCGGAGAGGTGTGGGCCAACTGACTGCTCATCTGTGAAGGAAGTACGGCGCGCGAATCCCGAGAGATGAGGTTGAGGAAAAGTTTCTGAGTGAAAAGTCAGCCCAACTGGCGTCTCGGCAGAATCGGGGTGCACCGAACGGGGAATCCCGCCGAGTGGCGCCCGGGACCGGATCTGCCTTGGAAGTGTGTGAGCCCACAAAAACTGCATTTTCCACTCTTGGAAGTTGGGGCCCAGGCTCCACCAATTGATTTTACATATGTAATCACATCAATCAATAATTCTCGCTTCGAATGGAAAGCATTTCCTGACTCTCTGCATGAAATTTATGATTGCCCGAGTCTCAAGGTACAAAAACACCTGTTAAGCGCAAGCAGCCAAAACTGAATGGAAATGGGAAATGGCTTCTTTTTCAAATAGATCATTCACGATGACTCGACAGATAAGCTTATTTTTCTCCGCGTTTGAGGCTTAAATCAGCCCAGAAGCTTGCATCTCATTTGACTATAGAGATTGAAGGCTGGAAACGAACAAGACTGGTTGATTTGAGAGGGCTCAGCTCCGGTTAAATCGTGCAAGGATTTTCATCACATTTTCAAATTTTTGGTTATATTTTCTGTGTAAAAAATTCAAATCAAATCCCGTGCACAGAGCCGCTACTAAGCTCCAGGTGCACTATGGACGTGTAAGAAGCCATTGTTAAACTGGGAGGCGAGGTTTGGTTGGGTTGACGAAGTTTACAAAAGTAGTCGAAGGAGAATGATAGAATATGCAATAAATTTGAGAATTATATGTATGAATTTTTGGTCTAGTTCTGAAGACAATGCCGTAGCCAAATGCCTTCTTGTTTACGTTTGGGGTGTAATGTACTCGCTTTTTGATGTATATATGTAGAGACGGAAGTTTGCCGTAGGGGATTGGGCCGGATCATAAAGTTGAATTGAGTCGATCTCTAGAGCGAACAGGCTTCTTCTCTCTGATGTTGTGCCGAGGTTGCAATCTCTCTAGGGCTCAAAGACTTCCACATGAATGTTTTCTGGACAATCCGGTCGAAAGGTAAGAGTCTCGTTCCAATTCCATGTGTCCTGGTTTCGGTATATCGGTGAATGGTGTCTGCTCCGTCAAGAGGAAGCCATCAGTCAAATTGTCTATTGGAACTTGGGCGAAGAAGAATTAGTGGGTGGACTATAAGTTTCTGTGAATTGCTTACGGATCCCACCCCTGATCGGCCGTGTCATTCTTCCCAAGGACGATGGAGCAATCAGTGAGGTTGACTTTCAAAGTTGCGTAACAGACATGAGACTTGATGGTTGAGCCCTCATTCGTTGGGATGTCCATCCGACCATGAATCGTGGCCTCGACTACGCCTTCCTTTTGGTGCTTGGGGCTTTTCCATTTGACATTGGCTTTTTCCCATGAGTTACCGTAGGCGTCTGAGTTCAGCGTAGCCCGACACTTGCGCTTCTTCGCACTTGTGCACAAACTGAGAAGGAGGGTGGTAATGACAAGGAGAGTGATTTTTGGATTGAAGGGGTTCATAGCGACCAAATAAATTATGCTCTGAGAAAGTTTCGCTGGAGGTTGTTGTGGGGGGAACTGAAGGACACTTGCTAAGCAGAATGAACTTATTGTGCCGCACAAGTCGTGGAGTCCTTGGTCTCAACTCTCTGCCGCATACTTGCTCCGATTTACTGAATCCTAAACTAGCAAGAGACCAGTTCTAAGAATGGGCGAGTCTCTGTATCCCAAAGAGCTGTACTGGAGGAGACACACGTTTCACCTAAATAAATAGATGGAAGCATGTATACTCTACTCCCTGAATCAATGTCAGTCAATGCCTCGTAACACGTCGCATCAATGAGATCTTGAGTAACACCTTGGAGGGTCCTTGTCACTTGAGCAGCGTCTTCGAGCTACGGCAAACCTAGCGTAACTAATTTTAGGCCCTCTACTTTAACTCAGTTAAGTTAGAGACCACTGCCTATGTCTTTTTTTATGTCAACCGTCTGTACGTCCATTTGACTCATAGGCTGTACCCCATATAGTTACTCTCTCTACAAAAAAAACGTCCTCCACCGTTACAGTATAACAGGGACCGAAGTCCATTAAAAGGGCACTTGGCTTATTTACCTAGGAGCAAGTGGCATTACCAGATCGCTCGCTGTGTTTCGCGGATGGGAGCGGCCAGATCTTGCCCTAGCGGAGCTTGTTTTGTTACCTCCAATCGAAATATTCTTTCAGCCTCTTTGGCGAGTAAAGCAACGCCTCGGACCTCGGTTCTTCAGGGATTATCGGGACTTGGTGAGGAATGGGAAGCCAAAGAGTTTACCACCATGTCCTGGAACTGGCCCTGACACAGTGATGCAAGCCGTCAAACTCAGAGTCGAGGCCCTTGAAGCGCTCGAGTCTGAGAGCAAAAAAAACGCCCCAGAAAAAACAAGCTGCTAGACCGTTTATTCGCTCAACACGCCGCAAGGCAGCAGGACATAAGTTTTCCTTCCTGCAGACCTGCTACGGTCACACAGTCCGGGATTCAAGTCAGGGCAGCTTTACATCTCATGCTGGAGCCCAGCGCTCCTGCCATGAGGAATCTCTGACTCTGAACCGGCCATCGAAATCGGGCAATCTTGGACCTAGGGCGAGGCTCATGAGTTTGTTGCTGCAATGTGCAGGAAACACTGTAGGAAGCACGCCAACCAACATTTCCATCGTGGAAGGGGCGAATGGTGTGACCCCGAATATAAAATGGCTGCTTGATCAAGCATATCGGATTCTTTCTCCTCATCCTCACCAACATTCAACCAACCCAAATATTCCCTTCAAACCCAAGCTTTCCCCTCATTTCCTCAGTGACTTTGATACCCTTATAATTCACGTTACCGAACCATCCAAACTTTCGAAAGATTCCCATCCTTGAACATGTCTCCATCTCAATCAATCATTGCTTTCCTTGTCTTGTCGGCCTGCGCTCTTGCGGTTCCGACTCCGCTTGCCATCCTCAAGACTAATGCGGTCGCTCAAGCTGGCGTAACCGCTGCAATCTGCGAGGCGCTCGATTGCGAAGCCCCCGGAGCTAAAGTCGTCCAGGACGCCTGTGTGGCTGCTGGCCTATCAGTTGGCACCAAAGCTTCTGCCGTCGCTGTTTCTCCCCAATCCCCGAGTCACATTGCAGCCGTAAGTGAATTTTTATCCGAACCCTGCTAGCTCTTTGACTGATGCTTGGTCGCTTCCCTATCTCCTCTCAGTCCGCCTTCGCTGGTGTCATGAATGGTGGCAACTCGGTCGCAGCTTCGCTCTACCATGTAGTCTCTGGCGTTGATGGCGCGGCCACCTCGGTGTTCAACACCCTTTCTGCCGGACTGATAATCCCCGCCCTAACCGATGTTTCTAACAAGCTTAACGGTGTCGTTGCTACGGTTGGGGTCAGTAGACTCACGATTTGATATATACTCCCAAGAAATAACGCTGATGGTGGTGTATCTTGCCTTTGCCATGCAGGAGGTCAAACATTGCACTGAAGTTCAATTGGAAGCCGCCACCTACCAAGGCTTTGTTACTGTTAGTTGCCCTTTCTTCCGTTCCACCAATATGGCTTGACTCCTAACCATCATGTCAATGCACCAGCTCGCTATGGCTCTTCAAAGCGTCTTCTGGAGGATCTCGCACCTCCCAACTCTTTATGTCCGAGCCGAATCTCGAGCATCTCTGCACGCGTCGCTTCTGCAGCTTCGTGCCGCGTTGACCGTAAGTGCTGGCTTCATTAACCCTTGGATCAACTGCTTTGCTGACTGGATCACTCCTTTCTCTTATTCCCAGATCTTCGTTGATCACCTCTTCAACTTCATCTCCGCTGACCTCGACAAGATCAACCTCAGAGCCGCTTTGTTCTTGAGTCTCGACGGAGCCATCCAAGCCTGTGCTTAATTCTTTCGACCCATCCAACCTCGGGATGCTTTTCTTGTCCGACCTATTTCACTCATTATCTCGTCTTGCCTGTAGTTTCTAGGGTTCATTTTGTATGTCTAGGGTTGTAATCAGTTGTTAGTCAGTATATCAGTAAAGACATTATGTAGTATCACGTGTCGCAAATCAAGTGACCTGTTATGACCTCTATCCTTTAAGAGAATCACAATTTCATATCGATCTTTATGTTGGCAAGACCTTGAGAGTCGTTTTATGGTGATGTTTGTGCAGAAACCAAGGCAGTAGTCGCTTGAGTGAAATTTTCTTAGGTTTTCATCGCTTTGTTTGACTCAATTCATTGATACCTTGTGTCTATAAGAGTCAAATTCGTTATCGTTTCAAAACGCTGGCTCCATTGGCCTGTAGTGTAGTAGGCCTGTTGTACTCAAGCCTCAGATATGTCAACCTTCTTTGACGCGCAATCACTCTCACTTTTGTCCCTTCCGTCCATTCCCAATGTCTTTTGCGAGCTCTTTCTGTTGACCTTCTTCTTAATCTTCTCATCTCAATTTACCACTGTCTCCTCAATCACCAGTATGCCTGATGCGGACTATCGGTGTTTCTCATTTCTCATAGGCTCGGTCGACTCCAAATAACTCATCAATCCCTTTCCATTTCCCTTTGCTTCAACTGGTACCGTCTGTTGTAATATATGCCATCACAAAAACGGTTGAGCACTTATTATCCACTTGTTTTCGTTTGTTTCTATTATTCAATTTGTGTTCACAGTATTATGAGATATTGAGACTCGCCAAATTTCATTAGCCAGGCCGTAATCCCCTTGAAGCACGACAGCTTCCATCACTTCACCTTCCATTCCTTACAATTCTTCTTCCAACACGTCATCTTCCAACACGTCATCTTCCAACACGTCATCTTCCAACACGTCATCTTCCAACACGTCATCTTCCAACACGTCATCTTCCAACACGTCATCTTCCAACATATCGCCTTCCATGTCCATGTACATTTCTGCCCATGAAGGTGCCCATCCCTCTGGTGGGGGTGGGGGATGCAGTTCATTGTAAAGACTGTGATAGCAAACCCCTCGCGCTTCCAAGGCCTTCTCAATCGCTTCTCGGTCTTCTGAGCGCCCTATAGTATTATAAACCCCCCAGTGAAAGTTTTTTTGTTGATTGCGAAAACAAGGCAATTAATTTTAGCAAGTGGACCTGTCTTCCGCATTAGCAAGAGCAGAAGAACAGAAAAACTGACAACCCGTATCACTGCGACATGAGCAGCACTTCAAATTGGGTAGCCATTCAGTATGTTCATTGTTGTCAACGTGGGGATCTCGCTGAGATTCGAGTGACTCCGCAGATTGATCCTTTTCGTTCTTTCCCCAACGCGACAGGACCCGAACGAGCGCAGAGCCCTGCAGATCATCACAATCCCACTTAAGACTTACGATAGACTGAGGCAAGAGAGTGAAAAAATCGGAACCGGCCAGTTGCCCCTTGATGTACAAGGATTGTAGCTGGCTCAAATTACAAGAAGATCTCCAGATCATGTCCAGTAAGCCGGGGTTCAGGCGTGGGTCGTCTGAGGATCCCCCGTTTCTTGAAGGATCGATCGGATGCCAATTTGCGTCCACAGCGATTTTCAAGGAGTGTAAAGCCGGGCTCGTGTATTCCGTCAGAATTCGGTATAACCCGCGCCGGTCGAGCTTGAGGCTTGGGCTGCTGATCTGGAGATCCCGGAGGCTATCTCGAGAGCTCATTAGGATCCATAAGATTTCCCTCTCATGTAAATCAGGCTGGTTCAAGATGAGCGTTTTCAAGGCGAAATTCAGAACAGGGATTGATTGATGAATGGCCTCGATCGTCTCAATCGGTCGACCAGAGAGTTTGTCGATCTCGACCGTCTCGAGCAAGTCCCATTTAGAGAATAAACAGGTCACCACCTCATCGACCATCCACCCGACCACCACGGGAGCTGTGTCAGGGTGATTGTAAGCAACGAAATCTTTGATAAGGCGCCGACTTGCGAGAGCTTGGAAGATGGGCTCTTTACAATGATTCTGAAACAAGGTACACATTTCAATATTTTCCAGACGAGGACAGCTTCGGATGATGTCACAAATCACAGAGCCACCACCCATTCCCATCGAACAGTGACCGCGCAAACGGCATTGTAACGAGCGAACATAGCGAGCTACTTGATTTTTGGCGTGACGGATTGATTGTAGATGATTGTTCGCACTCGATTCCGCCTTTCTTGCAACTTGGGCTGGGATTCTAGTATTTGATCGGGGGGATGCGTCGCCCCAGACTCGGGCTGAGGATGTTGGTAAGTCAGCGCCTGTAGGAATAACTGTGCCTGCCATTGGGATTTCAGAGCCACATTTTTGAAGAGTGCCTCTTGAGCGCACTGTCGAAATTTGCGGTTGACCAGAGTCAGGGGCACCAATGGCCTGCGTGGGAGACCTATCACGGAGAGGGAGTGATGAATGTTCTCAGTATGAGGCTTGTTGGGAGAAGTATTTTTATAATTGGATGGCTCACCCTCTGGCCATGAAACTGGGAATGGCTATGAGAAGATATGTAGATATCTAATTAGGACTCCAATCTTGGTAGATGACACAAAGCGCTCAAAATTCACCGTTTCTGGGTCAGTTCGCAACGCGCCGGGACGAATCAAAGTGCCATCATCGAATGATCTGAATGCCATGCGATGAGGTCGTGATCGCTGTCGAAACTCCCCGAGTCGATCGTGGGTGTGGTCACGAAAACGATTGATCATGTCATCGATTATCCTGTGGAGCAGTTCATCAGGCAGGTCAGTTAGCTTGGCCATTGTCTTCTTGCTCCAAAGTACTGTGCTGACTGTCTGCGTACAATTGCAGTAATCTTGGACGTATCTAGTTATCCAGGCCTGATCCGGACCGGCGCGGGCTGATGAGATCCGCCCGGACGGATATCCCGAGGGGACCCCGATAGATAGCTATCTCGGAGTTCAGACCCCAGTGTCAGAATCCAAGCGATCTCGAACTTCTTCAACTCATCCGACTCCACCAACTTGTGCAGCAAAACACCATCGGCCTTCAGCTTTTCTCGCCAGGAATCAGTCCACGTACATAAATCAGGTCGACCTTCAAACGCTATGGCTTCAACTCTCCCCAAACGAATTATCAAGGTTAGGAGCTGTGGTCTCTTCTTGATCGAACCCATCTCACAGTATCACTCAATTTGTCTCTTTCGATCGCCGGAATCGCCATTTTTAGGAAACCGAAAGACTCGTTTCCGATGCGCCACCAGGAATTTCTGCCGTACCACACGATGACAATTTACGATACTTTGATGTTGGACTTCAAGGACCCGAAGGCAGTGCTTTCCAAGGTCAGTTTAAAGTTGCTTTGGTTGATGAGTTTGCCTCTTCTTGTAGATCGAATCAGATAACTTACTATAGATATCTGCTCGTCAAATTTCATTCTTCGTATTTCAGGTGGTCTATTCAAACTTGAATTGTTTTTGCCTGAGGACTACCCGATGTCACCACCTAAAGTACGATTCTTAACCAAGATCTATCACCCTAACATCGACAAACTTGGTCGAATATGTTTAGACATATTGAAAGGTCGGTCTCCTCAGCGCTACCCGTTGAGTTCAAAAATGGATCACGACCTTGACGAGCATTTTTTGTGATGAAACCCAATGATTGCAAACAGATCGATGGTCACCTGCTTTACAAATCAGAACTGTACTATTATCCATCCAAGCTCTACTCTCCAGCCCCAACCCAGTAAGTCATCCCGGTATGGCTCAGACTTTTGCTTTTTTCCTCCAAAACCTACAAACCGCTAATTCAATCTTTGTTCACTCAGGATGATCCTTTGGCAAATGATGTCGCCCAACACTACAAAAGTGATGAAGCTGGCGCAATTCAACTGAGCCGCGAGTGGACCACGAAATATGCTAAACCTTAGCGTCAACTCGATCGCTTTCTAAATCATACTCTCTAAAGTTTCATTCTTGCCTCGATTCATCTATGTCTAGCTATTGTTGTACATTTCCCAAATGAGAAATCAAATAACGCAACTTCTTACTGGCTCTCAAATCGTACATGTACATACGCGTTATTTCCTACTTGAATACCTGCTCCTACTCAGTTCAATCAATAACTGGGCAGTGGCTGATTGGTTGATGTTTAGGCGACTCTCTCTCTCTCTCTCTTTCAACAGTTCATGAATTTGCCTTCAGTTGTTTTCCCTCGACTATATGGCTTTTGTATTATTGACTGTCACGAAACCGTCTTCGATCCCACCGTTGTATCTAATGGTTAAAAGGGTCTGTGTTATAGGCTCTCTACAAGCTAGATACTTGCAGATAGTTACAAGGGCCCGGAAACACCGCTGACTTTTGTGGTACCTTTAGAGACAAAATATCAGAGAGACAACAGGAAGGCAACGGGGTCAATGGCTGTTGAGCTCGCCGATCAACAGGAACCCTATCGATCAGAAGATGAGAAGGGGATATTTCGGCATGGGTCGTGACTTGCAAGTCATAAGTATTCAGTTGGACAAGGTGATGGAATCGTCGAGCATGCTTGGCTTACATGGTAATATGAAACCTTGGGGAGGCTTGCATCCATCTTCCAAGTAAAGATGATGCTTTTCAATGGTGATGAATTGCCTCAGTGCGTTGTGCCTTTAGCTGTGTTTCCCTATGAACCACACCATTCATAATATGGTCATATGATGATGACTGAACTAGACCTACCACTACCAGCCAAAGCGGCACCTTGAAACCTTGCTGCAGCCTGCACTTGCAACTTTTATAAATAGAAGCAACTCCATCATCATCCCTTCAGACCATCGCTCTACTTAGCTACACAAATTACACACCCAGTCATAATCCATCTCCCAACATAGATAGCTCTACCCAATCCCTTGAACCGAGAGAATTAAGCTCACACGTAAATGATTGATTTCTGTAACTTTCTAAATTCTATTATCTTGATCGAAACCCATGATTGCTGGCTCTGATGATACATAGTCGGATATTTGAATGTCCATATGTTTACCTATCAGATCGACGTGATGGAACCAACCCCAAACGAACAGACCCACTCGGCGGCACCGAGCCTTCCAGCCCCTTACTTTCAGTTCTTACTAGATTTAGTGAAAAGTACCCCAGGTATACTAGAATTAGTGAAAAGTGGCCCAGGTATGACGGAGAAGTGGGAGAGGCTTGAGATGGAACTTGAAGGTCAGTCAAACTACAGTTTTTTTCTACCTTGCCCAAGGCGCAGCTGAATCCGAACAACATACATATATATGATCTCTTGATAGCGTATTACGCCGGCCCAGGTAAACCGATCAACGCGTTGAAACTGAGCATTGTGGAGGCGCCGCTCCCCGAGTCGGCTATGCCACTGCTCGATCAGCTTAAAAGGGTTCACCCAGATCTCGAAAATCCGGAAGTGGAGTTGCGGAATCGTGTCATGCTCTTTGGAGGTCCGTGAAGCTGCGATTATTCTCCACTTTTTCCTCAGCAACTGATTCCGCGCACGATCCCCCCACCCCCTGTGTCATTAATAGAGGATGCTAACCGAAACGCCCTTGATAAGATAGAAAGAGAGCGCCTCGCACGCTCAACCTCAACTCATACAACCGCCTAGAAGCGCAGTGTGTTGAAGGTGCCATCCGGGTTAAGTTTCTCGCGAGATGCTCTTCGTAGGCCTACACCGACTTGAGCACAGATCTTGAATTCCAGATCGAGCAGAGTTTACTTCTAAGAGAGAAATATATTGTTGTTAGTACTCATGAATTATTTATAAACCGATTAGCCAAAAACGTAGATCCGTTTTTTCTTGCGCCAACTTTGGTCCGAGGTGCCGGAAGGAATGATAATTCCTACGATAATGTTGAGCCCAGTCCCAAAAGTCGCGATGGTTTCCCTTGAGAAAAACTCATCTGCTTGATAGTTTAAGTGAGAGAAAAAAGCCGCGAGAGATTCAGCGGGGTCCCTTCAGAGTACCCCATGAAACAGTCTATGACCTTATGGTGAAGCCACGCGGCAAAACATGGTTTGGTATCAGCGAGCAATAAAGCAAAAGATAAAAACTCACCTTTGTCGCTCAGCGGCGCTGGCCGCTGGGAATCAGATTGGCCGCGACCAGTGTAGTGGAGAGGCATGAGATGAGCAAATGAGATTCGACTGGATGAAACTTGATTGAGAAAGGACAAAATTTCAACCGGGTGAAAAGAGAGCTCACTCCTGTCTCTGTGAGACAGAGACCCTGCGGGGCTGCCCCTTTGGGGCTCTCACTCGAGAGGCGTTGTTATGCTCGTCACTCCTGAGGTTTCAACTTCGGCTATCCGCAGTGATCCAGTCAGTGACTATTATATCTGTTGTGAAAGGTTGTGGTGGCCTGGAGGCTAGGTCACATCCTCCGGGCCACGCTTGCGAGAATCCAGAGCAAGATGCACTCAGAAGCTCATCTGATAGTGATACTTCAATAGCCAACACCGCTGAGCAAGAAGCATATGTATATTACCGGCTCAGGCGCAGAGTCGGCAGGGACTCAGGACACGTTTTGTCCGACTGTCCCTCTTCAAACCATTCCCACGGATCGAAGGCGCGGATGAAAAAAAACAGTTATCGTCTTCGTTCAAATTTCAAGGTATGCTTTTCACATTGTCTTCAATCTTTGGTCGCCAAAAGAAAGTAAAAACAAACAAAACCAACAATAAAAAGGTGAGGGCGGAGAAGCCCAACCGAAAAAAGATCTGACGACAGTGGGATTCGAACCCACGCCCGAAGACCGCCGGATTACCACCAGTGACGCTTGTGGACGTCCCCAGTACCACCTTAAGACGGCGCCTTAGACCACTCGGCCATGTCGCCATGACACACTACGGGCAATTAGGTGACGCTCCCGCGCGGAACGTCACCTAACCCAAGGGGGGCCCCTTTGGGTTAGGTGACGCTGCGGGGCGCAGCGTCACCTGTTTGCCTGTAGTGACATCCAACAGCAGATCTGCCGCTGGGTCCGCAAAAATGAAACAATAAGCTGTATATTCAGCTGTAGCTAGGTACGTAAAAAACAAATAAGAAAAAAAATAGATGGCTTATGCATTGCCGTAGCAATGTAGACCAACACTCACTTGAGCTGTGAGCATTCATCAAAGCCTGACCACCGGCACACAGTCATCGAGCTTTGCCATTGTTGCTTTCAGCCCAGGGATCAAGAGGGCTCCAGTACGACCCCCTCCCGCCATGCTCTATTGATGGCCAACACCGGTGATCAAGAGAGAAGCCACATCCCCTTGATGGCCAGCACAAGACATCAAGAAACCAGCGGCTGTTCCCAGTCCTCTACACTCCCTTGATAACTGTTGCCAGCCATTGAGTGAGCATGTCTTTTTGATAAATGGCTGGTGCCAACCATTGAGTGAGCATGTCTTTATTGTAGATGGCCGGTGCCGACCATGAAGAGAAAGCGGCCTCTCTCTTGATCACTGGTTTCACTGTCACACTATCAGCCGTCAACAGTGTACCGTTGCAGACAGCATAGACCGACCCAGGATTTTTTGGATGTCCAAAATGTCAAGGCAAAAAATCAGGATTTTTTTCCAGACTTTTAGGCTTTTTTTAGCCTTCAAAGTGCTTAGAATATACTGTAGAGCATTCACAGGCATTCACCAATGCATAGGGTAGATGCTACAGGTATGATAGAGGAGTCTACAAGGTATAACCCCATGACTATGCATGGTTAAAACCCATAGTTATGGATTTAGGCATGTCCAAATATATGCATGCGGCAAAAAAAAAATCAAGAACCGCTGGTGCAGAGGCTTGGCGGTTACAATTCCGAGCTCTACACATGTGTACAAGTTCAAAACTGCAATAAAATTGGGTATGTGGGTATATGCCCCCCCCAGGGATAGGCCCCGCATGTCAATTTTGAATTTTGCGGGCGGGGCAGGGCTGGTTTATGCTGTCCGCAACTTTACCTGTTTTGATGACCGGTACCGGCTGTCAAGAAAGTGTAGCTCCTCTTTTGATGACCAGTACAAGCCATCAAGAGAGTTACAGTCTTGATGAACTGTTGAAAATTCACTCGATCACTCTCTTTTCTTTTTACATATTTTCTTATTCATTATTACTGTTCTTTCTTTATTCAAAATGCTGCTCCCACATCTTGACCATATTGTATCTAGACTACTTAAATCATCTAGATGCAAAGAAATTACACTCATCGGTTCTTTATTATTTTTTTTGACCGTTCCTGAAGGAAGCACTTTAGCCCTTCCCTCAGTCTATCTGTGAGCACTTAAGCCCTTGCAACAAGAATAAAAAAAGTATTTTTCAGGCCTTTCCGCCTAAAATTCAACACGATTAACAGTCGAATACCGACCTCGATCTCTTGAATTAATAATCCCTCTTATCCCTACAAATCATCCATCACATTCCTTCCCCAACAAACACCTCAATTCTCTATCCTCAAAAGATCCCTTCTCGTTCGAACTCAACATGGCAACCGAAGTAGTTCGCGAATCCAAAATACTCCTCACTCCTGATAACTACGCTCTTTGGCTGCTCCCCATGAAAGCCAAGCTCCACAAGGCAAAATCGCTCACGATTGTCACCGGAATCCATACCTGTCCTGACCCTGAAACGGACAAAGAAAACACCAAACTCTATGTCAAACTCAACAAAGATGCTGTAAGACTCAAAAGTGGTTGTGAGAACCCTTTTGCTGAATGGAGAAGGGTATGGTGGAGTTGCAAACTCTGCCCTTCTATACTATCAGATAACAAGACCCACCAAGCTCAGCTTGGCAAGTTTTAATCAAGTGATAGGGGTGGTTGGTTCGAGAATAAGTTGTTTGATCGCAGTATAATTGTATGAGAGAAGAGGTTTTGAGAGTATGAGAGTGAGTTTAGTGTGTATTACAAGTGTAAGGGTTGTTATAGGGTGTTTGTAAGGGTTGTTACAGTATGTAATGTTAATGGTATGGTATGTAATGGTAGGGGGTATGTGATTTGTGGGTACTAAACTGAGGGGAAAAACAACTGGGAGGAGAGCCTCCTTAAATACACAAAGGTGAGGGATTTTAGCTTCAGGGGAACAAGAGAATGAGAGATTTTAGCTGGCCAGAGCTTTACAATGAGGGGATTTAGCTAGTCAGGACATGTACATGAGGTATTTTGGCTGGTTGAGCAACCTACATGATGTCATAAGAGTCATTTTAGCTTGAACTAGAAGTCTACATGAGGGTTTTATGCTGGTGTAGCATGCTACATGAGGTGATTGTACTAGTCTGCAAACTAAGATGGGGTGATGAAGATTACATGAGTGGTGTGAGATAGTGTGACAGCTGCAAGGAAGAATAACAAATGACATGACAGCCTGCATGATGTCACTTGTAAATCCAGAGTGGTACTACACTAACACTGCATGTGTCAATATGTCAGAAGATGGTGGAGTGGTGTGTATACTTATGTACTATGCTAGTGAGAGAGTGTAGTTGTCCTGCAATGTGCATATGTATAGTGTGTGATATGTAATTGTTGATTTGTTGGTGGTGATTGAGTGTTGACATGTTGTTGAGGTGTGTAAGTGAGTGGTGTGAGAGTCCAGAGGGTGTAACTTCCAATCCAGTTGAGTTCCAGTGACGCCTCCAGTGGTGACCAAGGGTGAAATTGAGTGTAGAATCCATTTCTTGAGCCATATTGAGTGATTTGTGAGTGTATGTAGAAGAAAAAAGAGGGATAGAAAAGAATAATAAAAAACTTTGAATTTTTACACATTCAGCTACCACAATGCCTATGCCGAGATCGTTCAACACTTGAATCAAGAAGTGCTTGCTTATGTCAGTTCCACGCAATCCGAGACGGACGAATTTAACGGGTATAAACTCTGGCAGCTTCTCAGAAAAAAATATGCCGGTAACGATCTCACTTCTCGAACAACTGCCCTTAAGAAATACCTTGCGATTGAATACGACTCGTTCTCGTCGTTTCTCCCTCTTGTTCGATCGGCCAACCAGAAGATTGTGCTCTCCAAACTCGCTCTCGATGATCAAGTAAAGACTATCCTAATGCTCGACAAACTTCCTCAAAACTTTCACTCGTTGAAAACAAACATATCGATGAATTTTGAATCACTACCGTTTGACGAAGTACTCAAGAAACTCGAGGATTTCGCTGCTCAAAATCAGTTAAATGAGGACAAGAAATCATCGATCCCAACTGAAGCAACTATGTTTACCCAGTCCTCCAATCCCGAGATCATCTGTCCTCATTGCAAGCGAGGATTTCGAGCATGTTCCCACTGTTTCAAGAGTGGCCATACCGAAGACAACTGTTTCCAAAAACATCCCAATAAACGAGCTCCAAAGTCGGTCACTTCCTCGTCCAAACAACACTCATCCCATATGACTCGATACACCCAGGAAGATGAAGAATACCTACAACAAAAATATCCCGACCTCCACCTTTGATAATCGATCGATCTCGAGTTCAGGAGGGGTGTTGAAAATTCACTCGATCACTCTCTTTTCTTTTTACATATTTTCTTATTCATTATTACTGTTCTTTCTTTATTCAAAATGCTGCTCCCACATCTTGACCATATTGTATCTAGACTACTTAAATCATCTAGATGCAAAGAAATTACACTCATCGGTTCTTTATTATTTTTTTTGACCGTTCCTGAAGGAAGCACTTTAGCCCTTCCCTCAGTCTATCTGTGAGCACTTAAGCCCTTGCAACAAGAATAAAAAAAGTATTTTTCAGGCCTTTCCGCCTAAAATTCAACATGAACAATAATGGCTCCCTCTTGTGATGGCCAATACTGGCCCTCATGGGAATCTGGTTGACCGGCACCGGCCACCAAGAGAACCAAGAGAATGCAATCTTGATGACTGGTACCGGCCATCAAGAGTGTAGCCCTCTCAATGACCAGTACCAGTTGCTGTGAGTCAATTTAAGAGCCGCTTTCCCCATTGGGATGACCTTCATGATGTTGCCATTGTAGTGGGGATATCCCTGACCTGCATTTGGAGACTTTCAGTAACAACTTGTTTTTTTGCAAGTTCAGAATATCCTGTCTATGGTTTCAATTGACAGTTGAAACTTGGTGGCAACAATGGATTGGGTTATAGGATGATTGAACAATTCAAACAACAAGAAGCCCCAGCTGATATTTGTTTGTGCTGAATCTGGGCCTACAGCCATTGCATCACCTTTTGTAAGACAAAAATTTCATTTCTCACCAACAGCTTCACCTGCAAAGGGAGCTCAACAAGGTGAGATGATCAAGTCCATTACATGAGACAATGAGAAAATTCAAATTGTATCTCAGGGTCTCCAATGTATGCAGGATTGAAGGCAAATGAGATTTTTACATATTAAATTGATGAGCAGGAGACTCATGATATTTCAACCCTCATTGGGTGGGACTGTATCTAACTCTCTTTGGCTTGATTTCTTCATCCAATTCGGTTCTTGTTTGGGTGTGATGAGTGAATTTGATTGAAACCAAAAGGCTTGACATAGGGTCTTGGGAGGAGAGAAAAGAGTGCACGTCAATTGATATGGTTTTTGACCCAGAAAGTGTGGAAGTGGTCCCCTCAACCGTTGTGGAACTGCTCAGCTAATGAGTGAAGTGCTTGGAGGGGATAAATATTAATAAAACTATAAAATAGTAATAATAATAAATGGGTGTTGGTGAGACTGCCCTCCTTGTCTAGCTTGTGAGAGAGTTACACTAAGAAAAATAATAGTGTGGTAGATTTCTAAAATTTATCTTAGTGAAGATACTTCCTGTTGAGAATGTTGAGATGTTTTATAAGAGTGGAGGGATGGTCAAGAGCTTCTGGTGTTATGAGATATCTGAGGGGTTTCTGGTTTATATAATTCTTTCTGGATTCTCTGGTCTGTGAAGACTATATCTGGATCTCTGGTTTATCTGGGTTCTTTAATAAAGTGAGTCTTTATTTCTTCAGTATCTTCTGTTGAGAGTTTGAGGAGAGTTAAATAATTTCCTTTATTATTTAACAGGGTACAGTATAAGGGTGAGGAGTAAGGGTATAGTAATAGCCCGGTTCACATTAGCCAGTTCCAATGGCTGATCACCTTGTTAAATGTTGCTGATAGAAAAATATTTTTTGGATGGATCTGGAATAATCTGGGGGACTCTGGACTACACATTCAAAAATGGAGGTGTTTTTAAGTATCAATGATTTGCTGATTACAGCTAAAATTTTTGCTGATGACTGGCTATTGTGAACCGGGCTAATATCTCTTATTACTATTCTGTATCTGAAATATAATGGTTGATGAAAGCTAAGTAATATCTCTAATTACTATTCAGTAGCTAGCATGGGGAGGAAGGAAGGAAAACAAGGGCCAGGAGGGCCTCTATTTATAGACAAAATCTTTGGTGGGGATGGTAAACAGCTTCACTGATGAGAATGCTTGGTCTGACTGGGTAATGACCTCATACCGCTATTTTAATGATGTCTTGTTGATGTCATGCTATGAAATTAATTGTTTTATTCCTTTAGTCTGTGTAGTGTAAATATATATAAAATATAATATCAAGAAAATTAACTATGATTTGAGAATAAAAGGCTTTATCATGACTATTTGATATTATTACCTGATTTCTTGAGTTTATATTTACTCTTTTAATATTTTAAATATGTCTTTTAATGTTTTATGGGTTTGATTGTTCTTGCCACACCGTCCCCCAAGAGTGACAAGTTTAGCAAATTGCTCCAATGACCAACCAGGCTGATTTGGCCTCTGTAGCTAGGTAGGCAGTCTGGCCATAGCACGGTGGTATTCGACGTGTTTTTTGGGGCCCTCGAATACCGATTCGACGAATATTCGAGTATTTGGAGATATTCAATCAAAAAAAACCCAAAAGTCACTTATCTTGGGTGTTTTGACATTCTTAGTCAATAGCAAGCTCTGTATTTCATTTTTTGCAGTCATGTATTACAATATTTATTTAGTAGATCATGTATTTTTCATATGTATAAAGAGTAAGAGATGAAATAGAGATAAAAATACAAAGGGACTCGGAAAAACGACTCCCTTTCTTTTGCCAACGACTCCCAACGACCGTCAGCAGACGTATGTTGGGAGTTGTCTTCTAAAATTTGGGCGGATTCTGGGAGTCGTCCGCCCTATTTCATTTTTTTTTTTTATTATTATTATTATTTTTTTTGGGAGTCGACTCCCCAAACCACCCCTCATGTATGAGTTGGTTTGGGAGTCGCTCCCTCCCACTTGACCGGAAGGAACCCCTTCCGGTCAATGAGGTGTAGCTTCCTCATCGACCGGAGGAGAGTCCTTCCGGTCAATGAAGCCCTTGCTGCAAACCCCCCAACCTCATTGACTGGAAGGGATTCCTTCCTGTCGATGAGGTATAGCTTCCTCATCGATTGGAAGGGATTACTTCCAGTTGATGGGGAGGCTAAACCTCATCAACAGGAAGGAATCCCTTCCGGTG